TCGGAGTCCTTAGCTGATAAGTTATATAGTGTTACTTCCCTTTATACCTTTTCTACAAATACGATTCNCCGTGCACACGATGATTTCGGAGCAAAATACACCGTTCAGCCCTGGAATACAAATTTCTGTTGATCGAAATTTCTTGTCTAATTTTGCCTTGTCATAATTTTATTCAAAATATATTATAATACTCAAGGAGGTTCAAAAGTCTATTACAACTCCTTGATAATACCCGTACCTGCGGCACAAAATTTACGAAAATTAATTGCCTTGATTCACGCTGGTATTGTGTTTTCACACGAGACTGGGTTATCACAGAATTACGGACAGAATTGATGATTTATTCTGTATCTCCGGTACCTTTTTTTAGTAACAGCAATCTTTCATAAATTAAAAAAAAACTACACCCTATGAAAATACATGCTAGCAAATATGTTATAAAAAAATCGTTCACTTATGTAGCTTACCCAGACCCGTTCCCGAACCGCGAGTAACAGAAAATTTAATATTAATTCGAACGACCCAGTCTAATGTGTAACTTGCAACTTTGCGATAGTAGGGGTGTTCTAATGCCTTGGAAAATACCAGTTTGTCTCACATGTCTATAATTAATTCATAAATAGCTGAATTAGAGAGAGTTACCAGCAGAATTCCAATGAGTGACCGATCAAGAAAGGTCAAAAAGTCTTTTTGTTTTTGTTTATGCAGACTGTACATCCATGAACATTTATGATTGATAAAAACTCTTTATTATATGCAATAAGAACATAAAGGTATGATTAATTTGACACTTAGAAAATAAGAAGACCCATCTTCAATATAGTGATAACATAATCTTAATGGTAGTATTTGACCTCAAAATGAAATGAAATGAATGGAGTTTTACGTCCTACTTTTGTGCACCATGTGGGCTAATGAAGACGGGCAACGCCATGCAGGGGGCGATGAGGGGAATTTTGCCAGGACAGCGGCATTAGCTTGCTCCTTTTCGATTTCCAACTGTCGAGGGATCTTTAACGTGCACAGCCTGTAGCACACGGGGCCTTGGTTTATTGTCCCATCCGAGCGACTAGACGCTTTTTCCATGTCAGCCACTCTTACCTGCATCACTGACAGTTGGAAACCGGGTTGAAAAATCCGAAGGTATTATCTCGACCTATGCCGGGATTGAAACCTGGACCTTCAGGTTAGCGAGCAAGCGTCTAACTCGTACTTGGCCTCAAAGGAAACCCTATTTTCGATATAACAAAAAACTTTATTGTCTGTACTGTTCTCGTTGTCTTCATTACCGTTTTTCTTCTGTACATGGCTTCCTTCTTGTTATATATCCTCATGTTTACCCCAACTACTTCATTTCATCTGATGACGACACGTGTAAATTGTGTTGAAACGTTATGTGCTTTGTTATTAAAGAAGTGAGTTATACCATAATATACCCCTTGTGTTTTTTGTTATATCTACTCTCCACTTCTAAATGTGTTCAAATCTTACTTATTTTCGATAATGAAATTGTTTAGTTTTCTATTCCAAGGCAAGGCTGGTTATACCTTTGTATAGTACATTACGCACAGCTGATACATGCGGCTGAGAGCTGTAAACGCGGTGTGCTTTTAAATTGCGGCTGAGTACTGAAAATGCGATGCTGTGTTGTGCTAGATATTTGATTATTTTCCCTATCAGAAGGGTGCCAAAAAATCCCGATTCGGTAAAATTAGCTTTTACTAAAGAAGTTATTATTAGCGTTTAGCTCCAGTTGTCAATTTTCATCATAAATTGAAATTTTAAATTATTCAGATGGTATTCTTATTACATATTTAAGCAATATTCAAAATCTAATAGATTGATCTTATCAAATTAATATTTTTGAAAATAAAACAAAATTTGGTCAATAATTTGTTAGTATTTAGCAGAGACGGATTTGGTTTAATCAATAGAATAAAATTATTTCTTTTTTTTTTCAAAAAGTTGAAAAAATTGAGTTATCTCCCATATACATTAAGTTATCAGACCAGCTAGATGATTAGGAACTGTCTATAATACCTATATCGATTAACAGTTAACAATTATGTCCTTTGAAAACTTATCTCACGTCACTATGATTTCCATTCAGCGCAAAAAATAAATAAGTAAATACCGGTACCCATCAATTTTTTATGTGCTTATTCCACAAAGACTGCTCTTCAATTCACCGGAAATGTTTCTAAAAAAATTGCTTAAAACGGCAAGGTAATTAAAGAAAAAAAAATCAAATGTGATGCGATGTAGGCTACTTTAAACGGTATATAGCCTATTTTAATAGACTTACTATTAAAAGGCTACCATAGTGATTCGTGTTGACAAGATCAGAACACGAACAGGTACTTGTCACGAGAACAAACTATCGAATGCACCCAAACTATGCCAGTTTTATGTGAACTCTATGTGAAGTAATGTTTCAATTCTAGAAATAACTACAATGGTTGTAGGTTGTAGGATTGGTGGAGGATCAAAAGATTGAAAGGTTGTAAATTAAAGTCATTAAAATTAAACTATAGTCAGTAGGTGGACTGATGTCACATCTTGCTATACTATTGACCAATCAAATTGTTAACACGTGATATAGTCTGTGTTACACATGAACATGTGGTTGTTGACTTAAACATTACCAGTGTACAATACTCGAGCTGTATACTGAATTTGGGTGTCATTTTCTGTTATCATGTCAACAAACGAAGAAGTGGTTATTGTATCTGCATGCAGAACGCCTGTAGGATCATTTAATGGCGTACTTGCTAACACCACTGCCCATAATTTGGGTGCTTCGTGTATCACAGAAGTTTTAAAAAGAGGTAACGTCCAACCAGAAGATGTATCGGAAGTTATTTTGGGACAAGTTTTGACAGCTGGGCAAGGACAAAATCCGGCTAGACAAGCAAGTATTATTTCTGGTATTCCAAACACGGTACCAGCATGTAGTGTAAATATGTTATGTGGATCCGGGCTTCGAGCTGTTGTCTTGGGTTCCCAGGCCATTAAAACTGGTGATGCCGATATTGTAGTAGCAGGAGGAATGGAGAATATGAGTAAAGCTCCACATTGTGTAGGTATGAGGGCAGGAACAAAAATGGGCGATGTTTCTCTTGTTGACACAATGATTAAAGACGGTTTAACAGATGCCTTCAACAATTATCACATGGGTATTACAGCTGAGAACGTGGCCAAACAATGGGGAATTTCAAGACAAGAGCAGGACCAATTTGCTTTAGATTCACAATTAAAGTGTGAAAAAGCCCAGCAAGCCGGACATTTTGATAAGGAAATAGCACCTATAACACTGAAAACTAGAGGCGGTGATCAGGTTATAAGAAAAGATGAGTATCCGAAATCTGGCTGTACCATAGAAAGTTTACAGAAATTAAAACCATGTTTTATTCGAGATAATACTGGTACTGTTACAGCTGGAAACGCTTCCGGTATAAACGACGGTGCTGCTGCTCTTATCTTAATGAGTCAACGTGAAGCAAAAAATAAATCTATTAAACCACTTGCACGTATTACAGCATGGGCTCAAGCCGGTGTTGATCCTGCTATTATGGGAACGGGTCCCATTCCTGCTGTTAAAAAGGCCTTGGATAAAGCTGGGTGGTCTGTCAGTGATGTAGACTTATTTGAATTAAACGAAGCATTTGCTGCTCAGTCTGCTGCTGTTGTAAAAGATTTGGGATGTGATAAATCAAAAGTGAACATTAATGGTGGTGCTATTGCTTTAGGTCATCCTATTGGGGCATCGGGTGCCCGAATTTTAGTTACATTGCTACATTCATTACAACGTACAGGTGGTAAGAAAGGTGTAGCTGCTCTATGTGTTGGAGGAGGAATGGGTATAGCTGTTTGTGTAGAGTCTCTATAGATATTTCATCAATAGAATAGAATGAGGTTTTATGTATTGTGTTTTCCATGGGTTTAAAGTATGGGTTAGCGTCACAAACGAGAAGAGGTTAAAGATGGCACCATGACAACTGGGCTAGATACTATAGATAAGTTTTATGGAATTAAAAGCTGTAACAAGTTCTAAATTGCTTCATTACAATTATTCATGTGAAGAACATTAAAGATATGTCTTAAAGTTGTTGTCTTTAACACAAGTTATAATTGATCAGATTTGTTTACATATTACATGTATGTGTTTTTTATTCGTTGTATTGTTATATGTCATGGAAAGAGTTACTTATAACCCTACAATCTAGTTATTTTTCGATTTTTCAAATTAAAATGACCATTGTACCATAGTCGTTACCTTATTATAACCCCTTATAAAATGTACATTCGCATAGGTCTAAAGTTAACAATAAAATATCCCTTTGAATTCAGAGCAACCAAATTGATAGGACACATATTGATCTTCCCCCTTTACAGAACTTAAAGAAATGAATCGCAATTTGGGCAGTAAATTCTTCAACCGTGAAAATATAAACAAAATCCAGTCATATTCAGAGCATCCATATTTTTAGGACACACAAGGATAAAAAAAAAACTTGAAAATGAAACCTACCGAATTTTGTTCAATATGTCTGTTGTATCTTCACCATCCGTGTCTTCTTAATCTCAGAAACTTTTCTATTACTTTCCATATATTAAAGGCCAAAAATCTAACAGAACTAAAATCTAACACAAACAGGGCATATTGCAGCTTTGAACATTCTCAAAGGACCTCATTCCGTTACTGAGCAAATACATATTCGCAAGACTATAGAAACACATATTCGTCAGACTATAGAAACGTAATACACTTTTGATTACATTTTCGGGGTAACTAATGATTTAGTCTGCATCAGCATTGCCTTACATGTTTTAATTGGTTTTCGATGTTTTAATTGTATTTCGATGGTTGAATTGGTTTTCGATGATACATGGTACCCAGATATAATCTTGGACATTGTTAGCCAATGAATTATGGTAACTTAATAGACACCAAAACATTTTGTCAATAGTGTTTTTTATCAGCTATTTTAGACAAATTTATCTTGATATTGAAATTAATTGCAAACCAATCGGCCATCATACTAAAAGAAAAACAAACCATTAGAGTAAAATATTTTAATGGATCACAATTGCTTGGTACCAAATATATACATCTTTCACTTAATGACGAAACAGTAAGTTATAACGAAATAAAATCAATTATATTTACACAAGACAAAGAATCCAAGCAATCCATAGTATTACCATGGTTTCTAATGGAACTGTTTTCTCAAAATATCAGAAAACATAGATTTACACAAAGGTATCTCCTTCCGGCGTACTTTTGCTGTACAACAAAGAACTTAAATATTCTGTCAAATCGTTTAACTGATAATATTCAGCCTCCGTTAGAAGTTCTCGCCATAAATTATCATTCAATGGTAATGTTCCTTCCTTGATCATCCCATCTCGAAGATAATTCAAAATATACCGGAAGTGTGTACCATCTCGATCTATGAAATAACTACCGTCTGCTTCTGTCTTCAAATCATGTCGTCCACTAAACATGGCAGATAACATGGAAGCAGGATCACGTGTCAAGCTGGTCAACGATGTTGTAAACTGATGTCCACCAATATCTAATTTAATTCTTCCATCTCGAATTTTGTGCAGCTCTGACATTCTCTGAAAATATATTTCAAATGGGATTTCTTAAAATATACTCGATTAGGTAATAACTACGCTAATTTCATTTCAAAATACAAGTATAGTCGGTAGTGGAATTAATAAATCTCAACAATATCTGCTGGTAACGTCTTAACAGAGAATTTTTGTCTATCTTTATATCTTGGCATCTTTTATTAAATGCAAAACTATACCAATATTAATATTGTCAGCGCAGTAAAATATAATCTTCAAGAAATAGAGGATCAACAATCAAACAATCAACAACATACCAGATAGACAATACCTCCGATATAGTCACAAGATAACCAATACCTCTGATATAGTCAACAACATACAAGATAGCCAATACTATACCAAACAATCAACAATATACAAGATAGCCAATACCTCCGATATAGCATACAACCTACCATATAGACAATACCTCCGATATACTCAACAACCTACCATATAGACAATACCTCCGATATAGTCAACAACATACAAGATAGCCAATACTATACCAAACAATCAACAACATACAAGATAGCCAATACCTCCGATATAGCATACAACCTACCATATAGACAATACAACACCAAACAATCAACAACCTACCAGATAGACAATACTACACCAAACAATCAACAACATACAAGATAACCAATACCTCCGATATAGTCAACATACAAGATAGCCAATACCTCCGATATAGCATAAACCTACCATATAGACAATACCTCCGATATAGTGAACAACCTACCATATAGACAATACCTCCGATATAGCATACAACCTACCATATAGACAATACCTC